CAAACAAGTTCAAAGAAGAAAAAAAAAAGTGCCAAGCCTTTAAGTTTTAAGGTGGGAGTAGGCACAGTTATCAGAGGATGGGATGAAGCACTTTTGACTATGATGAAGGAGAAAAGGCTCTGACTGGAGATTGGACCAGAATGGGCTTATGGAAAGAAAGGACAACCTGATGCCAAAATTCCACCAAATGCAAATCTGTTTTTTGAAGTGGAATTAGTGGATATTGATTCAAATAACAGTTCTTTAGATTTAAAACATCAACAACAATAAAACTTGGCCTTGAAGAAACTTAAGTAACAAATTAGAGCTTGTTACTATTGTAAGGGAAGACTCAACTGGAAAATTCAAGGAGTTAAAATTTGTTCATCACTTATCTCAGCTTTTGAAAAATGTAATCCCTTATAAATCCCTAAAGTCTAAAATATTTTACTACAGCTATGTAAAATATTGGTTGAGATCTGTTTTTCCTTTTACCTCATATTGTAAACTAAAAGGCTCAATAAAAATTTATCTATTGTCTGGGAAAAAAAAGTACTATAAAATATAAGTAAACACTTAAATCCAATCCTTTTGTCTTTGCATTGACAATATATTTGCTTCTTAAGAAGTTACAGTTTAGGCACTGATCAGATGTTCATCCAGCATTAATTTTCATTAGAAATGATTTAAGTGAAAACAAAAATATATGAAAGTGAAATAAGAATTTGTCTAATAAACTTGAATTTAGAGACTTATATGCTTAGATATTTATTTTAGAGAGTTAAAGTTGATGTTGCTTGCAAGAGATTTAAATAAAAGACAACCTTGTTCTGTGTGTATTCACATAATGCAAATTATTTGGTTTACGTATGTGGGTTAAAAACAGACATGACCTTTTGAAGGCTTCCTGTAAAGGACATAATTATTTTCAAAGAAAGTGCAGAAAAAGCTACTGAATTCCAATGTAACTACTCCATTTAGAACACAATTTTTAGGGCTGGCAGGTGGTACGGTGGTTAAGGTTGCTGGACTCCCACATGGTTGACCACTGTTGGAGTCCTAGAGCTGGAGGCTTGCTTTTTTCAATTTCTCTCTCCCTCTCCCTCCCTCTACCTCTCTCTCTGTCCCTCTCTGGTAAAGTTAAAATAAATAAATAAAGTTAAATAAAATAATTCCTTAAAAAAACTATTTTAAAAAAAGAACACAATTTTTAGATATCAGCGAATTTGAATATCAGTCAACTCTCAACCCAAAGTAAAGGAGAGTAGCCAAAATTTTAATAATCTAAAACAGTAGCCAACGAAAAATTAGCTTATCTTAGTCTTTAGAATGTATTCTTATTATCATATTAAATATATTCTTTTATGACATTCTTAGAATTCACTTAGAAAAATAATGAAAGTTTATGTGATGACAAAGTCAGGAGATTCCAGGAAATTACCCTATTTCCCCCATCTTTCCTCCTTTCCAGCTAGTTTGTGTTGTGAATATACATGCCAAAACAACTAGCTGAGGGAAAAATGAAGAATTCAGCAAGCTGGTTTGTAATGCTAAGTATCTGGGGTTTATTGATAATTATAATGCGACTGACTATTATTTGGCTAGAATCATTAGTAAATTTAGTTAAAATAAATTCACTTATTTTGTCTTATGGATATATGAAGAGAATGTCCTCTCCTAAATCTTTCTTGGAGGAGATAAACATGTTACAGGATGTCAAAGATAGACACTAAAAAAAAATAAAGTGTGCATATCCATAAACTCAAAAACACGTCATATTTCTGATAATACAAGTTCAAATAATAGTATGGCTTAACAGAGTGCTCAAGTATTTAGGAAAGTGATAAAATCCTTAATTGTATCATTTGTCTTCTATCTTAAGGAAGTTATCTTAAGAGATTGTACCTTTCTGCACTATTTAATATATAAGTACAATATGATCCAAATGGCCTAGTGCAGCCCACGTTATATGTGGAAAAGTATCTCTGCATGAGACTTTCATTTAGTGGTTTCTGATAGATATCTGGAATGACAGCATAGCCAGAGCAGCTGCCTAAAGATTGATGGAGACAGTGAGAACTACTAGGGAAACGGAAATTAACTCCACAGTGTGTAGATAGGTGTGTGTTTTAACAAGCGTGCAAATATCACAGAAGATTGACTGTTCATTTAACTAACTTTCTTTGCAAAGGTTGTGTGGAAGGGTAAATAAATGTGTGTATAAAACATAATGAAAAGAGCACAATACTCCTTGAAGTGAGTGGTAGGATCAGTGAAAGTAATTTTTAATAACATGGGACAATTTTTTGTGAGAATGTATTTTTGAAATGATATAAATAATGAGGAAGTATTTTATATATATTAATGTGTAGGAAATTTGGGGTTACATGTATCTCCTCTAGAAATCAAGATTAAGCTATTGTGTGTATGTACATTGGGTTGTTTATATAATACATAGGAGTCTCTGTAGGAGGGACCTGTTGTACTTCTTTTTCCTTTAAGTCTGAAGTTCAACAAAGAATTATAGGTACTAATAATGGAAGGAAGAGAATATGAATGCACCAGCAATTGCCTGCTCCCTAAACCTAGTTTGAAATGTCCATGTGCTTGAGAGAGGACCACTGGAATGAACCAATGTGTGCTCACTGCTACACCCAGATGGAAAGTGAACAAAGAAGTGAGATATTTAGATATTTTATCTCATACATACCAGATTTCCTCTTTGGAGAGTTAATTTTGAGAGACAGGAATGATTTATCCATATTTCCAGAGAAAAACTTTGTATCATAATCTTACTGTATGTGTTGTATTTTGGGAACATGATTTAAACATATGTAATAACAAAACTGTGTTTTAAAATGTCAACGTTTAAGTAAATTATTCCATGATAATCTGTATTATCTTTAAATGTATTCAGCCAACCTGAGGATCTACTTACAAATTAGTCATTAGAATTTTTGTTTTAAGTAATTGATGACAAGACGTTTTTGTTGATTTTTTAAAATGGACATAGTCTAATTAAACCTTAGAGCCCCACACCATTCAAAAAGTTTAAAGATACTGCTTCCCTTATTTCATCATTGTACAAAACAAAACAAAACAAACAAACCACATGCAAGATTTACGACTTAAGGGGTTTGCATCTCCAGCTATTTATTCTGACAGAAAAGCAAACTATATCTGAATGTCAATCAACTTACTCCAAATGTATGGATATGTAAGCATATGAATGAGTAACTGAATTTTTCAATTTTTTTTCGTACTTTAAAGAGTGAAGTAAAAATAACTATGTATACATTTGAAAAGAATATTGTCTAAAGACTAATTAATATTACATTATTCAAGTTCTAAGTTTTACTCACTTATTAGGAGTACGAAGGTCAAGGATCATTTCCTGGACATCAACTTTAATTTCAGAATAATTTGTATTTGGCAGTTTAATTTTAACCTGAAAGAGAAAATGAAAAGAAAAATATTTTTATCTTAGAGAATACTTTGAAGAGCGTAAGAATATATGGGGAAAGGTAAACTAGTATTCATCAAGTACCAACTATGTGCCAAATTATACCTTTTCCTTACATAAATCTTGAGACGCAGAGATTATGCTCATTTTATAGATAGATGGAGAAACTGTTTAGTGAGAACTTTACAAGTTTAGTGAGTGAGTCAAGGGCAACTGCCGTATTTGACTTAAGGTGTATCTGACTACAGATTCACATAGAAACACTTTGATTATTTGCCTGCAAACTTGAAGGTGTGCACCAGGACACAAGCTAGAACTGCAGATCTTTAACCACTGTTGCATATGCAGACAATTTATATTCCCGAGACCAGCACTTGGCGAATGGCTATGTCGCTGGACTCCCTTGTAGTCAATCACATTTCGAGTCCCGGACCTAGTGGCTTAAACTCATGCCGGGCATGCGTACATGCGTGCCCAAGATCCCGAGAGGAGAATGGAGGAGAAGGGATTGCAACATGGCCATCTCCCCGGAAGGTGATTTCTCGCTTTCTGTCTCTCTGTCTCTCTCTCTTTCTGGCGAGCACATGTGCCCTATAGCAAAAGACTTTTAAAATGTTTATTCTCATGCTGGGTACAGGTTGTCAGTATCATCTTGTTTCTTTGGGCGAATTCTTATACCATGTTTCCTAGGAAGATATAGGTCTAGAAAGATTGTTCATATCACAAAAGAGAATAACAACGTGGGACTAGCATTTAGCATAATGGCTATGTCGCTGGACTCCCACGTAGTTGACCATGGTTCGAGTCTCGGACCCGGTGGCTTAAACTCACGCCGGGTACATGTGCATGTGTGCGTGCCCAAGATCCCAAGAGGAGAATGGAGGAGAAGGGATTGCAGCATGGCCATCCCCCCTGGGGGGTGATTTCTACCTTTTTGTCTCTCTGTCTCTATCTGTCTGGCAAGCGCACACGCCCTATAGCAAAAACCTCTCCAAAAAAAAAAAAAAGAGAATAACAATGTGACCCCATCTCCCCAAAATGACTACTTGTGGGTAAGATTTTACTTTAAAATACTGCTTCTCAATTACCATATGGCTGAGTATTTCCATGTTTTTATTCATGGTAGAACTATTCATAATAGCTAAAAGGTGTAAACAGCCCAAATTTGTGTCAACTGATGAATGGATATACAATATGTGGTATACATACAATGGAAATACTACACTTGATCTTAGTCAAAACACAAAGAAGCAACAATATAAGGGAATATTATTCAGCTGTAAAGAAATAAACTACTTTCACATGGATAGACCCTGAAAACATGCTAATTGAAAGAAATAAGGTACAAAAAGTCTCATATTATAGGATTCTATTACCATAAAATTTCCAGAATAGCCAAATCTACAGAGATAGAAAGTAAATTGTTCGTTGCTTGGGGCCAGGTGATGGAGAAAAGAATAGTTAGAAAACAGGACAAAAGAACTGCTTAATGATTACAGGGTTTCCTTTTGAGTTGATAAAAATGTTCTGAAATATTTGATGAAATGTACTGATTGGTGATGGTAGTACAACATTGTAAATGTACTAAATGTCACCAATAGTAAATTTTATACTGTGCATTTTATTACAAGACATTCTCATCTCTTATTCTAATTTGTAGTTATTCCTTTTTCGGTAGAAGTTGATGATATGCATATATATGAGATGACATGGCATATGGTTTCCAGAAACAAAAAACAAAAGCAACCTAAAATTCAGATAAATTACAACGCTTCTTTAAAATGAACTAGAAGACTTGAAATATTGGACATTTGGTGACTTGGTGGCTGGAATAGTCAGAATGAAAGCAGCAAGTTATGAGGGAAAGACACATCAAATAAGTAGTAGGACAAATCAGAAGTCTTTGGACAAAGCTTAAAGTAGTAAACAGTGATTTTGCAATATAAAACAAGTTCCAATACATGTCTGTGAATTATTTCTTACTTTATTGACGCCATATATAGATTCAAATATTTTATAAATAGAGCTCTAGAGGTGCTAATATCTAAATGCTTCTTGTGATTAATATTTTCATCAAACAAAAAATTGCCTAATTTATATTTTGAAAATTCAAATCTTCATAACCTGAGATGCTTTAAGCAAGATAAGTAGAATATTTCTTTTTTTTTTTTTGAAGAGGTTTTTTGCTATAGGGCGCATGCCAGACAGACAGAGAGAGACAGAGAGACAGAAAGCGAGAAATCACCCCCCAGGGAAGATGGCCACGTCACAATCCCTTTTCCTCCATTCTCGTCTTGGGATGTTGGGCAAGCACGCACACATGCCCAGCGTGAGTTTAAGTCACCGGGTCTGGGACTTGAACCATGGTCGACTACATGGGAGTCCAGCGACATAGCCATTATGCTAACTGCTGGTCCCAATAAATAGAATATTTCATAAAGAAGTAGTTAGCTATAGGTGCTCTGCCTCAAAGGAAATTAGCATTGTATTGGAAAAAAGGGTTCCATTTTTACTGTAATAACATTCAGTTCTGATAGTTAGGTTGAGATGTTCTCTAACTTCTCATATTGACTCAGCTCACTTAGATAAAAGGATACAAATATTTATTTCTTTTCATCTCTCTCTCTTTTTTTTCTTTTGGTCATAAGGCACATGCACTCTCTGGAGAGAAACAGTGACAGGGAAAGTGACAAATCACTCTCCCAGGGAAGATGGCCATGCCACAATCCCTTCTCCTTCATTCTCTCAGGATTTGGGGCGTGCATGCACATGTGCTGGGTCTGGGACTCAAGCCACACAGCTAATCATGTGGGAGGCTAGTACCTTAACAACCACGCTACCTGCTGGCCCCAAGTATTTGTTCCTTTAGTCTGAAATATTTAACTTTCAAGGTAAAATATTATTTTCCTGGGACTGATATGACAATTAAGGAAGGAAAAAATTTTGACATGAAAGTTAGATATGATTTTGGGGTATAACTTCAGAATAGTTCTTAAAATCATTTGCAGTTCTTATGAAGGATAATTCAGAAATGACTCACTAACTTTTCCTCCTTAAGGACATTAAAATTGTTTTGTAAAGTGGGTTCAGAGGAGAAACAAGAGAACAAAAAAATTAGGAAAGGAGCACATTAATATCTCACAAGATAGACGATTCAGCGAGGAATCTTAACAAAAAAGTTCCTCCTGAAACATGAATCAGATTTCTTCAGTAATACTTTTAATGAACACCTGGGAAAAAGACATAACTATTAATTGATCACTAACTGATTATGCCCAAGAGATAACTTGTCAAACATCAGTAAATACAGTAAACTACTGACCAGACAATTAAAAGGATTGATATTCCTCTCTTTACATAGGATACAAATTGATTAATTTCAAAGAATAGATTGTTTTAATAGGAAAACTGCTAAAAATTTCATTGGGGAACTTTAAAACTTTTTTTTGTGGGGGGGACTTTAAAACTTTTGAGAGAACAAACTTTGGAGCCAAATTTAGATTTAAATTCTGTTTCTCTGACTGGCCCTGTTCCCTAGTGGTTAAGGAATTCCACAGGGCCAAACACAGATTGAATCATGGCCCTGGCAACTTGACAAACACTCTGGGTACATGTGTGAGTGCACCCAAAATCTCAGTAGGATAAAGCAATGAAAGAGAAAGAATTGCAGTATGACCACATATGCCTTTGAGGGAGGGGGTGCTTTCTCCCTCAATCTCTCTCTCTCCCTGTCTCTCTGTCTCTCCTAGCAAGCACACACATTCTCTGGCAATAGAGAAAGAAAAAGAATTCTGTTTCTCATTTGATCCTTGTTGGAAGGTCACTATCACATATACTCGGCGCTCCACTTCTGTTGCTTATTTGTTTATTGTGTATTAGTTTTAATTAGTATAGCCAATTAACCCCCTAAAATTTATGACTCAAAACAATAAACATTATATCATACATTTTCCATGAATTAGGAATTTGGTAGTAGCTTAGCTAGGAGGTTGCAGTTTAGACTCTATCATGAAGTGTAGCCAAGATATTGGCTGGAGTTGCAGACATCTGAAGGGGTCACTAAGGCTAGTGGATTTGCATCCAAAACAGCTCATGCACATAGCTGTTGGGAAGCTTCAGTTCTTTCCATATGAAGATCTCTGTAAGGTTCCTTGGGTGTCCTTATGAAACAAAAGCTGTCATCTCTCCAGAGTTAATGATCCAATACAACAATGCAGAGTGATGCCTTTTATAAAATGTAGCATTAAAAATTATTAGATTGTCTGGAAATAATGACATATTTTTCTATGTTTTTATATGCAAAAATGTGTCATAACTTTGCTGATGACTCAATACATTCTTTCATTTTTATAATATATTATTGGTTGTATAGGTCAGCTTTAGTCAATATTGGAGGGGCCTATGCAAAGGGAAAAATATCAGGAGGGGAAATCATTAGGGGCCATTTTGGAAGCTGGTTACCATGTATTCATCATTGACTTTAGTTCAAACATCTACCTTCAGGCCTTATATATATAAAAAAAAAAACAGGAAAAAAGTCAATAAATTTAAGATTTGTAAGATCTCTTCTGACCACTTTCATCTTGTGTTTAGGTGAATAGTCAAAAACTATTCAGACTCTCCCTGAGAATTCACGTTGAGGCTTTCTTGGAGAAGGATAAAGATAGGTCAAGGTGCTTATGAATTGTTTTCACAGCTCTTCATTTATTCTCTTATAACAGAACTGGTTACTATACTAAAATCTTTAGAGGTATCATTATCGTGGGTTATAATTTTGATTTTTTTTTTTTGTCAGAGGGCACATGCACTTATCATAGTGAAACACACAGAGACAGACAGAGGGAGAAAACACTCCCCAGTGAGGTGTGATCACGCTACAGTCCCATCTCTTTTATTACTCCATCCTGTCAGGATTTGGGGCATGCATACACATGTGCCCTAGCATGTTTTTCAAGTCACCAGGGGCTAGGATTCAGACCATGGTT